GCCATTAACTAGATTAAAAGACTTTATAAAGCATAAAGGCAAATTAATTAAACTTAGTACTTTATTTAAAGTGTTAGATAAAAAAAGTTTTAAAGGGTATATAGAAGAAGTAAAGGATGAGTATATTTTAATGAAGACAAAAGATGAAGGTGATATTATAACTATAAGATTTGATTCGATTTTAGAAGCTTACTTACAATATGAACATAATATAAATTAATTTTAGGTGTGAAAAATAAAAATTTTGGTGGAAATGAAATACTACATGTTGCAGAAGCTGTAGCAAGAGATAAAGGAATATCAAAAGAATCTATAATTGAAGCTCTTGAAGAAGCAATGGCGATAGCAGCTAAAAGAAAATATGGTGCCAATATTAAGGTTAAGGCTCATATTAATAGAAATTTGGGTAACATTGAACTTTATAGAGAAGTGCTAGTTGTTAAAGATGGTTTTATTTCTGATAATACTAGAGATGAAAATAACGAAGAAGTTAAAACTATTGAGATTTCTAAAGCACAAGAAACTGATCCAGATATTAATGAAGGAGATGTAATTAAACAAATTTTACCACCACTAGAAATTGGAAGATTAAATGCTATATCTGCAAAACAAATTATAATTAATAAAGTTAAGGAGCTTGAAAAAGATAAAGTTTTTGAAGAATATAAAAATAGAGTAGGTGAAGTATTAAATGGTGTTGTAGAAAAGATTGAAACAGGTGGATATATTGTTAAGCTTGGAAGTGCTGAAGCAATATTAAAGAAAGATCAAACTTTAAAAACAGATTTTTATAAGCTAGGAGATAGAATAAGAGCTTGTTTAGCTAAGTTAGACAAAGAATCTAATGGACCTATATTAATTTTATCTAGAACCCATAAAGATTTTGTAATTCAATTATTTAAGCAAGAAGTGCCAGAAATATATGATAGAATTATAGAGGTAAAAAATATTGCGAGAGATCCTGGATCTAGAACAAAAATAGCAGTATACTCTTCTGATCCATCAATTGATCCAGTTGGTTCATGTGTAGGTATGAGAGGTGTAAGAGTTCAAGCAATTATAAAAGAGCTGAAAGGTGAGAAAATTGATATTGTCAAATGGAGTGATGATCCAGCTACATTTGTAGTCAATTCCTTAGGATCATCAATTAGAGTTTCTAAAGTAATCATTGATGAAGAACAGAATAAGATAGAGATAATTGTACCTGAGGAAGATCAAAGTCAAGCTATTGGTAGAAGAGGACAAAATATAAAATTAATATCAGAATTAGTAGGTTGGAAAATTAATATCACCACTGAGGAAATAGAGTCAACTAGAAGGCAAGAAGAATTAACAACATA